TACTTATGGTCTGCGCACTTGCTTGAGTACATGTGTACTTGTGTGTTTAATATATTTGTGAAGCACCTGCACTATCTAGTACACATATATGTGTGACTGAGGGCAAGAAGGTTGAAGTTATTAATTGTTTCAGTGTCGTCATCATTGTTGTTGTGCATTGTTATTCATCCGCGCTCTATCGTTTCGTCATCGTAAAAATGATGTATGGCCGAAGTGATGAATGAATGATACAATAAAAGAGTGGAAAAATTGAAGAATGAATGAAGGAACGAATGTGCGGGTGAACATGCAAACAAACGAACAAACATACCAATACATAATAAATGAACAAACGAACGAATGAAAAATCGTTTTGTTGAATAAATGAATGATTGATAACATAACAAAAGGGTGAACAAATGAATGATGAATGACTGAACGAACAAGTAAACTAATGAATGAATGTTACAAAAATGCATGAAGGGTAGTGCGCAAGTCGATTGGTGGATTTAAAATTGCAGTCGCAGCCGATGTTATTACGGAAATGTTTCTCTTGCAGCATCTCTCCACGAAGAACTGTATTAAGACGCTCATATTGAAGCATGAACAAACATACAATCATTGTTTTATCAAATTTTTCTCTCTCTCTCTCTCTCTCTCTTTTTTTCTCTCTTTCTCTCTCTCTTTTTCTCTTTCTCTCTCTCTTTCTCTCTCTCTCTTTCTCTCTCTCTCGAGTTGTGGTTGTGTGTCTGTCGCAACATGGAAACATATATAAAATAATTGAGCATATACGAACTCAACGAAATATAACGCAAATAATTGTAATGCAAATGTTGTTAAAAATATAAGCGGCATCATTTTAAATACTCGCTTTATGGCCAAAATGAATGCCTAAGTCAACAACGTAAATGTATTTTCAGTTGTATTAGAGTTAACAAATTCAATGCATTTGGCATTTTTTTAAAAGTAAAAATGTGAACAAAACAAAATTTGAAGATGTCAAACAGAATTAAACGATAGAAAAAAAACAAGATGGTACATAATACTTTTATTTCGTATTCATACAGCATACAACAAAGCATACATCAGATGATAGATACATTCGAAGCTATCAATATCACGTGACAAGACAAACAACAAAAGTCAAAACAATTTATAAAATGGGGTGTACATGCTTCTGTCGTGACGTCATTTGTTGACCCGTCCTCGTTTATTTCGTGACATTTGACCTGATTTTGTGACCTACATGTCTTATGATCTTCCATTGTTGTTATAAGGTTACGTTGCTTTACGTTTTGTTGTGTTGTATTATGTTGCGTTACGTTATGCTCTGATTTTTTTTTCTAAAAATTTTTTAGCACTTTGGAACTTTTACTTTGGCTTTTTGTTTTTTATTTCTATTTTTTGTGTAATTAAATGTAATTGCACTTTGCTGTCGTTATTAGTGAATAATTTGTTGTAACTTTAGTACTGCGGCATTGTAATATTACAACGTAACATTACGACGTAATTAATATTCTCAACTTGTAGTTTATCTACGCAAAATGTAACTAGGCCACAGAAATCATCATAGTCAACCTTCATTAAATTGTTTATCTATTGCGCATTATTTTCATGCGTTAGCATTAAACCAAGAAATAAAAAAATACTTAAAATAGACCAAACGATAACTGAAAACAAACAAAAAAAGTTTATCATAAAATGATAAAAAAAACGTTTCTCTTGAGATAATGAAAAAAATACTTCAATTAATTTAATAATTATATCAATAAATTCACTTTAATTAGCAGCATCAGCGTTTTTTCCAACTCTCTTTTGTCTATCATTTGACCAAATTTCATCAGTTTTGTGGTCATTTTATTATAACTTTTATTGGCGGACTGTTTAAGCTGATCATCATTTGCATTAGAATTATTATCACTATCATTATTTTTCATCATCGTCATCTTCTTGTTCTTCAACATCATCCTCGTATCATCATCCCCGCCACACTATCATCATCAAATTCTTCCTCTTCTTCATCATCATCCTCCCATCACCACCATCAGCGCTGATGACAAAGGTTATGATGAATAAGCAATTCCGCATGTATGGTTGGTAATATTGAGCCGAATGTTGCTACCCTGATAACGTTTAATAGATTCGAATCGTCGTATGATCGTGCGTGAATCATTCTCTCTTTGTATGTAAGATTTTTTAGGAAAGTTGTACACATACACACACACACACACACAGACAGACACACAACATATATATATATATATATACATATATATATGTATATATGTGCGTGTGTGTAAGTATGTGTGTACATTTGTGTATGCGTAACGCATGAATGAAAGATGTACAAATGTGTACGTCTAGCGTACCGGATAAAATTTGTATTTGCGGTAGCAAATTTTTGTGTGAAAATACATGTTGAAGTTTGTGTGTATTTGGTTGTATTTTCAAAGTAGTAGTCTATATTTATACATTTGTATGCACCTGTGTAGACAAGTATAAGTTATTTGTGGGTTCAAATGCTAGCAACTTCCAAACTTGAAAACTTTTTTTTTATTTACCCTGCAATACTAAATTTATTCCAATTAGGATTATTTATAACGGACTTTAAATTTCTGACAATATATTGTCAATTAATTTTATAAATTATTTCAATTTTGTTTTATATGGAAAACATGTTGAAACACGTTTCAATAAGCTTTGAACCACGACAATATTTTAGTGCGTTTGTAATTTCTCCTTAGAGTTGTTCTTTTCGATTCGTAAGAACACACACTTGTGTTATGTTGATTTTAAGTTGTTTTTAAAAGTTTAAACAACAATGTTGTTGTTTAAACATTTTAAACGTTAAAAATTTTAAAAGTTCAAAAAACAATGTTGTTGTTTGAACTTTTGCTACATAATTTTGTTCATAAATATATATAGATATTTATAAAAAATCTTAGGTAAATAATTTCAGAGGCTTATAAAGCAAACAACAGCCAAAAAGTTACCAAAATACCTACAAAACTGCTCATTCAACTTTAAAAAGAAAGAAACAAGGAGGGGAAATGTTCAATTGTTCAAGGTCCGTCAGTTTTAATTACGCTTTCTCATTCTTTTCTGTCAGCATCGATTTCATACAATTCCTCTACCCTCTCTAAATTGCTTTCTTTGAAAAATTTTATTGCACAAATTTCTAGACTTTGTTGTGACTTTGCTCGATCACATGCGTTGGTTGTAATGTACATTCATTTCTTAATATCTTCACGAATTCATTATTTATCGGTTATTGCTGTTTTTTTCTCTATTATTCACTTACTTATAAATATTAAATACAAGGTATTATTTTTAATCTACTCTTTATTATATCTGTTGGAAAGCTGGTCATTTGGCAGACATCTTCGTAAGTTTTATTTCGGCAACTTTTTTGCACTGCTAACTTTCATAAGTGTTCGGTTGTATTTTTTTGTTCTTAAAAATCTTTTCAAGAATTAAAATTTTAATACCTACCAATCCAGCCATCGAATGATTAATCTTCTTGCTAAATCTTTTGAACGTTATGAATTCCTGCCAACATTTTCAAATATTTTTCAATACGTACAAAAGTTTGAAATAAAACTTTTTAGATTAAACGATCAAAATGCGAAAAATTATTTTGATTGGTTGGCACCTTTTTCCGCCATGTATGTAGCTAGCTCCACACAAATAGTAAATATTTTAAATAGTTTAAACCAACCTATCACTTAGTAGTCATTAAATTCGAATATGATTTCTTTTGTATAAATATTTTAATTGATTGACAGGTTTGTAGAGCTAGTTTTCTATATTCACCATATAGTATGTATTAAACTATGTGGACATAAGACTGTATCAATCATGGATTTATATATTATTATGTAGATGATAATTTAGGTTAGGAGGTATAAGTAAATATAGGTTATGTATAGATATATGTTAAAGTTGGTATGTAAATATAATGATAGTTAAGTTATAATAGGAGTTCACGACAAGACAGCAAATTTACAAACATAAAGCAGCTTAATATAAGATAATATAACGTATAATTAATCAAGGCATATAATACTTTGAGTAATAAGGATGAGGTGATGTACACTAGGGAATGACTGGTTAGAAGGAGTTAGACAACTGGTTAAGCTCTAGGGAGCCAGGTCTCCTCCTGGTATATAATAGGCGAGCACGTAAGTTAAAGTTAGAGTTATCTCATTAACACGCTTTAAAAGCTCTTGAACACTACTTGTACACTTTTATACATTATCATTTTAGTTACTCTTTATATTTTAATTTCCAGTTTTAAGTTTTGTTATTTTACTACATTAAAATACATTTAATTGCAATCAAACAATAAAAATAATATTACCAATAATGGGTGAGTCGTTTCTCGTTCGATTTCGATTGTTAAACTTTACAACATTTTAAACACTAACTAATACTCAACACACGTAAGTCACCAATTAAAGTCATCTCTCATTATTTTATGTGCATGAACAGTTTCGAGTTATTTAACGTTGAGCGAGCGAGTGTGCAGAAACAGACAGAATTTCCCCAAGAACAAACTATGTTGTTCGTTCGGTAACAGTCGTAGGATGGTGAAGAGCGAGCAGTATAACAATATTCACAGTCAGTCTGTATACAAACTAAACAAAGTCTGGCAACGATCAAACATTCAGCTTCAAATTATACAATGTTACTTTCAGAAGTAAAATTAATAAAACTATGCATGGAACGAATGCTGTGAGTCAAATAAGTATACGAACTACTGCATAGAAGTTGAGGTCATTTTTTAAAGTTAATTTGATGAAAATTTAGACAGAAATTTGATAAGTTCAGCTATCACTTAGCAGATGTTGATTGGATGCATACGCCTCACCACAGAACTAAACAAATACATGAATTCTAAATTTTAGTGCATTTAAACGTTTGCTGAATGGTTAGGCTTATAAAAGTAGCCAGATATATTTTCTCTTTCATTATCAAAACTAGATTTTTAATTTTAAATAAAAAATGAAAAAAATAAAAACTTGAAAAATATATTTTTATATTTTAAAAATCGAATGAATAAATAGCTAAACCAATGCAAAATAACTCAATAAAAATAAAAGTAACGGCTAACTAGTCGGTTTGACATATTTTATCACTTGAAAATTTGATACAAAATTAGATTTAATCAAATATTAATTGATCAACTTAATAAAGGGATATAAGAAAATAATTAAATTAGACTGAAAAATAAACTAGACAGAACTCTCCATTGTGAAGGCAGAGGCATAAGAATGCACGGAGGCATCTAACTTGATGACATCATTCATCGGATGATGATGGTTGTTGTCCGTGGTAGAAGCAAGGGGTTGGGGGGTGGAGTTGGATTGCCGGGAGCTATCAGCTGCGTTTTCAAATCCTGCGTTCTAATTTTTTAAGTTATATACTGCATTAAATTCCATAAATAAACTGACAGATGAAAAATGTAAAACTATAATGTCATCTATAGCAAATCACTCTACCCGAATTTTAACAACCAAACAGAAACTAATGACGAAACACTTGCATCGTGAACATTTGAAAGCTGAAATGTTGGTTTGTCGGGATAAACTTGGAATCCATCGACATAGTTGACCAGCATTCGGTGCTTCGGTAGGGCCGGTCCCCATGACCGAGTCGGTATGGTTAGAAGATAAATACGCTGTGAGTATGAGTTTGTATTGCATTAATTTAATTTATGCAAATGTGTGAATGTGTGGCCAAACAAATTTTGTGTGTTTGTGTGTGTGTGTAACTTTATTACTTTACCTTTGAATGTTATTTCTAAACTTCATTCATCTCGAGTTATTGTAGAAAGTTTCAAGCAACGAAATTTTGTACAACTAATAATGACAAATGAAAAAGTTTGTTTTAATCGTGTCACCTACCTTGCAAATGCTCCCATCATATTCCTTGCAGATTTTCCAGACGGCAACGATGGGAATCCAGATGACGGAGCAGAGGGACATCGACCATCCCATCACATCCGCCCACCTATTGAGGTAATTAACAGATCAAATACGATGCAATAATTATGTAAAAATGAACAATCATGACCATTCCAGTAAAACAAATGTTGGTTATCTAGATTAGTGTTTTAAATGCTAAAAACATAGTTCATCTTCTATTAATCAATCAAAATTTTCAATTTTCGGTATTTATTTTTATATTTGTTGATATTGCTTAGTAAAAGTATTGAAACAGAAAAATCTATTAACCCTACCTTGGGTATACATATGAACCGTAAGTGGCTGGTTTGTAATCAGCCCATGTGAATATAAGAACGAACTGCAAATGTTGAGTTCGATTTTGAGTTGTTAAAATAGTTTTTTTAATTTTTATCAGACATACCTATATTATTTACCATAAACACATTTTATGCTTGTTTTTGTATTGGTTTTAATTTCAAGGAATTTTTATGACAAATTACAACAATAACCTCTACCAAATCTTGAATAATTTTTTTAAAATTTCCTCAGTAAGAAATATTTCTACTTATGAGCAATTTCGATTGCTTTTAATGAAAAATGAAGTGAAAATTCACAGACCAATATGAATGCAGGAGTTAAAAACCGCCAACAAATCTTCCACCAGACTACATCCTTCCTACCCAGCATTACCTCCATGTCGTTGTACAGACGATTGCATCCTACGCGAGATATTTATAACAGAAATTATGATAAATAGAACAAAATTACAGTTATAATGAAGATGAAAATGATATCTAGGATGAAGATGATATCTAGGATGGAGATGGTATCAAGGATGGAGATGATATCAATGATGAAGATGATACCAAGGATGAAAATGATATCAAGGATGAAGATGATAATGTCGTGAATTTGATAATTAAAATTTCAAATCTGCTGCTGCAACCGACCGTAGACCCAGGCCAGGGCAATGCACTCGATTACTCCGATGAGCAACAAACCCCAACCGCTGCTATACGAGTCCATCAGTTGCAACAGATAACTGCCGCCCTTTATAATTATCAGAATATTATTATTTAAAATTATATAAATTTGTATTATTAAATTAGTATACTAATATTATAACATGATACCATATGGCCAATTATTGTATAAACATACAATATTTTAATATTATTATAATCGTATCCATGAGAATAATTGTCTAATTGACTTATGGAAAATAAAAACTGTAAAAGTTTGACCATCGAGCAATGCAAAAGTCTTTGTGATCTGTTAACGTGCGAGTGTGCTGTTATTATTAAATGTGTTCTTTATGAGAACGTACGTGGATGCATGTTTTGAAGTTCAGCATTATTTTATTGAAAGATTCTCACTCTGGTGCAGAGGGGCAGACCAAGAAGAAAGAGAAGCAGGCACATGAACATGACCACCCACATCTTCTTTCTCCTCAGCATCGGCAACTGATCCAAGATGGATGTTAAGACGGTCTCCAAAGTTGCAAACTGGTTGATGCATTACAATAATCAAAAAACGATTTGATGTTACACTATTATATTTTTTTACCAGGATTTAAATAATAAACGTTTGGTCCGGTCGGAAAACGCTCTAGGGCAGGTTTCCGAAATCGTTACGGTGATACATGGGTTGTTATTTTTAAACTTACCATTGAAAAATAATTTCTCATTTTGAATAAATTTCACAAATTCGCAGTTATAGCCTACGTCATCGTGTAAGTTGCGTACATAAAGTTTATCAAGGTGTACACAAACTTAACATTAATGCGTTTTCAATGAAACACTGTTAATTTTTCGAACCTGACTATCGAGTCCGAGTGTGAGCAGCATGAGAAAGAAGAGAATGCTCCAGAGTGATGAGATGGGCATCTTTGTTACCGCGTCTGGGTACACGATGAACGCTAGTCCTGGGCCTTCAGTAGGGTTTAAATAAACCATAAATATCCATACTTTCCACTTGAATATCAATAAAATTTCAATAATAATCAAAATTTTGTATTTGTGTATTAAAGTTAAATGGTTCGGAATTGAACTGACCACTGTCGACAACTTTGTCCACACTGACTCCCATTGAATGGGCCATGAATCCCAAAAAACTGAAAATTACAAATCCTGCAAATATTCCCGTGGCCCAATTCGATAAGGTCACAATGATGGTGTCCCTGCTCATGATTGGGGGATTGAGATGAATGAGATGAATGCCATGAAATTATTTGCATCGAATTATATAGATAAAAGTTTAAAAGTAAAATGTTATTCTTAACTAATCTTTGCATATAAAAAATCTAAAAATATTGTACGAATGTTGTAACCAAAATGGTAACACCCAATACCATTGTCACCATTCACTCGGACTACGAACCTCATGCAGTTGTTATGGAATCGGTTGTAGCTGGAGAGGGTGATGAGTCCTCCCCAACAGTTGGACATACTGAAGAACATTTGGATGGCTGCATCGTTCCATACCTGCTGACGACGTGTGATTATAATAATTATAATTTATTATAACAGTTTACGAATATGAAAGTGTGAAATCTAAAAATTGTGACATCAGTCGATACAGCTCGTAAAACATTACTTACAATTTGAATACTAAAATGATTTTAACAACCCTGGCATCTTTCAGTCGGTTGAAGTCGGGTTTCAAATAGTACAAGATTCCCTGGTTGGCCCCCTGCAGAGATACTCCTCTGCCAAAGAGAATTAAGAGGACAACATAAGGGAACAAGGCTGTGAAGTATACGACCTGCGTGTGCGTCGAGATCATTGTTTTGTTCATGTTGGTGTTTAATTTCAAATTCTTCACTCCATTTAAACAAATGTTTTTAAGCTTATTTGTGCAATGTTGCTTTGTAATCTCAAAAAATTAATGACTACGTCAACAGATCATACTAATAATTATTATTTATGAGATGATCAATTATATGATAAATTATTTATATGATAATAAATGAAAGTACCTTTCCAGTGGTTTTGATGCCTTTGATCATGCAGAGGAAGGAAATGATCCAAGCCAAAACTAAACTCAATACCAGGTCCCATCTTAATTCTCCCAATTCTTCGATGCCAGAACTCAAGCCCAAAACACGATTTCTAGCGTTAAATAATTACAAACATTACCAAGCGTTTATTATTACTATAGTTACTCAGATTTCTTGCAGTAAGGTAATGCGAATCTATGGAAGAAAACCACCGAAAGCAAAACTAATTTGAAATTTGCATCAACAATTCGAATAACCGTTCAGTTCGTTACATGTAATATTCTTCGCTAGGCGTCTTTCTTTTGAGGTTTGTGAGGTTTTGAAAGGTTTGAACGTCCCATACACCAACGAGGACTCCGTTGTGCGTGCAAGTTCCATTTGCTTCCTGGATGTCGTTTGATGAGTTGCACGGAACATCTGGCATTCGATCGTAACAATCTGATGAATTGCAGTTAAATCGGGTATTTAAACTCAACGACTACCGCCATATCACATATATGTACACAAATGTATCTTTAACTCAAACAATTGGGTTTCATTTGGAAAGGCTCACGGAATTACAATCTATCCACACTGTGATGAATGTAAACATATGATCGCAATTATAACACAAAAACTTTAAAAAATGTTATAAAAATCAACAAGATTGTTGTTTCTTAATTGTTGACCATTTCTTAATTGTTATCCAAAACTTTAATGAGCAATTTATTGAAATAGCCCAAAAGAATCATATGAAAAATTATCAGTTGCACATTAATTTGTAAAGATGCTGTACTAGCATGGAGTGTTCCAGGGGTTGCTGCAGCTTGACCAGGGCACGTTGGTGATATTGATGAAGGAAGAAAACAAGTAGAAAAGTGACCAGGCAATGATCATGTTGTAATAGATACTGACCAGAATTGATACCACTAGCTGCGCCATGCCTAGACCTTCGTGACGTCATTTAATTTTAATGGACTATCAAGTTACAATCGACATTCAATGAGTGCAACTAATGAATTCACGCAGAAAGAACTAATTAAGTTGAAGCATGAAACAAAATACGAAACGGGCATCACTTCAATATTAACATATTCTAGTTTCTAATTTGCCACTTCATTATTCAACAACCTCCAAAAATTTATCAACTGATATGAAAAAACAACAAAATTAACAAATGTTTCAAAACGCATTTTAATTAAACCAACCTTGAAACAACGGAGCAAACTCCCAGCAATTGAGAGGTCCGCAGCTGGTAAACTGACCCAGTACCAGCTCTAGGTAGAACATCGGCATTCCAACCAGAACAAGTACAATCGTGTATGGGATCAAAAATGCACCCCCACCATTCCGGTAGCAGAGGTAGGGAAACCTCCACACGTTCCCGAGTCCAACTGCATAACTGGGAAACAGAAATAATTTGGTAAAAACTGCCATTTATTGAAAAACTTTTGCAAAATTTTATTTTCTTAGACGTCATACTTTACATATTAGAAATGTAATTAAAGTAGTATCTAGAGATAAGGCTTATATCAATACATGCGTGAGTGTATCTTTAGAGAGAGTATAAAATGAACATGCACATGTTAGTTATATAAATAGACTGCACACAGACTACGTTTCTAACCACTACCCATGTTCTGATTAATATTAGTGTAGTGGCAAATGGAGTTAAATTAAATGTAATTTGAAGCAATAAACGTCTAGTGATGAAAACAGTTTGTTGTTGTTCATACTTTTTAACGCTTGACTAAATGAAACAAATGTTTTTGTTGGAATAACTTCAAACTCAACTAACCCGAGCAAGGAAAGAAGAAAATCCAATTTGCCAGACCAATTTCCTCTTTCGACGTTCTCGTCATTTGATTGGTTGTGAGCTATTGTTACGTCATCGCTCATTTTAAGCTTTGATTGCTGTCGAATGAAGCAATGAGAATTGGGTGATGACCGGCAAAATGACGTATTGCTTGCTTATGATGATTGCTATATTAACAACTTAACACTACAAATAAGCTTTTAAAGCAGAGAACAGTGTTTTCTTCAAAGTGATGAAATAATTTATAGACGAATTTAAATATTTCTTACAATTAAATTATTGAGAGGTTAAATTATTTGACGGTTGAAAAATTTTTTCAAATTCAAACTTTGTCAACTGTTTTTCAGGTGCTTGATTAATAACAACATAGAAAATTTAAAATAATTTCATATTTATTACGTGATTTAATCTTATTTATAACATAACTTCTTAAAATTTAAAATTCGAAGAAGCGAATTTGAAAGAGCGCGCAAAAGCAATGAAAATTAAATGATAGCAAATTGATCGTGTGACTGTTGATCGCACGAATACGTTTAATTATATCACCTGTAGTTTCATTGTTCACCTGTGCAAGTTAATCCATTTACACTCACCCATATCAACATCTCCTGTTGCTATTAATGAGTCGTTACGTTTGTAAGATGAGTATTGCATACATACACACATACATAGTTACACAGATGTCAACGTGTTTTTCGGAATAAATTAATTTATTATGATAATCTTAAAATTTGTTTGTGATTGGAGTGATTTTAAATTTTAGCTACTAAACAATTGTTTCATTTGTTTACGTATCTTTATTATGCACATGCGTGTTACCAAATACTGTATACCAAATACTACCAAATAGATGATTTATGGGGTTAAGAACATAGATAAATATCTGAATTCACGTGGTTTCATTGTGTCGGGTATGACGATCGCTTTGAAAGAAAACGAAACTGTACAAAAAAATTATTCAATATCAAATGAGTGTAGAGTAATAGCGATAATGATTTATTGAAACAAAACTTTCCCTTTTCAATAACTTTATCTTGTAACAGCAGAAGTAGTCAGAAGACATGAAAAACAAATGTTGAAATGTTAGATGCTAACCAAGTAACCACTACTAATTATCGTAAAATATCTTGCCTACAAAATTTAAATTTAAAACGATATCATCACATCATCCCGGTCGAATTTAAACGGAGCTTTCAGCAGCGAGTACAGACACTTGAGAAGGCATGGATGGGTCTCTGTTGATGACGTCACGCTGTTTGGGAATGACGTCACCTACAGGATTGGATGATGTTGAGTTCTCCGTAGTGCTCTCAAATGCTGGATTCTAGAAATTTTAACGTTTTTTGATTTGATTTTTTTGTTAACTATTTATTGTGCTGCTTAATTTAAACCGCGTGTGCGCAATAATATACTCTACAATTAATACAAATCGTTAATATAACATTTCGGCATAAATCTAGTAGCCATTGCAAACTGAGGTAATTTACTTCCAAGTTGCTATATTCAATTTATCTATCTTCGTCTATAAATGGAAATAACATTTTTGTAATAAAGTTAACTTCAGTGCATGATATCTTTGCACAGTTTTATATCTCAAACAGAGAAAAACGTTGCTTAAGTTGATGAAATAATGAAACTCTTATCATCGTACAACGCCTTTCACAAGCATACCTTGTGTTGTTATTAAAAACTTGGTATTCAAGAGTTTGTCGTTAATTATGTTTTAAATTGTGCTCATTTGCTCATTCCAAAATCTTCAATCATCACAAAAACCAAAATTGAATGTATTGAAATGAGAAAAGATACAAACGTCATATGTGGTAGCACTTTTGTATGTCAATTTCCTGGGATGTACCTGAAAGCCATCCACGTAGGTGACCAGCATCCGATGCTTCGGTAGAGCCGGTCCCCAAAATTCCGTCGGTAGAGTTAGGACATATATGCGCTGCATAATTTAAAATTATCCACATCTAATCAATTTATTTTTATGTAACTAATTTCAAATTTTAATGAGAAACCACGGGTGTTGTACCTTGAAGATGTTGCCATCAAGTTCTCGGCAGACCTTCCATATCGCCACAATAGGAATCCATATGACGGATGACAGCGTCATTAGTCAGCCCAACACTTCTGCCCATCTTTGTGTTAACAACAAATGTTCATTGTGTACTTTATTATTGAAATAAATTAATTTTTTTTTAAATTTTCAGCTATTTTATAGGCCGTTAGATTTAGTACTAGGAAGCTTCAACACGATGTTCGTGATCTTAATAACAACATCAAAGTGAATAAATCGACTAATGAAAGAGTGTCATAAGAACGTTTCAGAATGCAACCTGGGATAAACGTACGATCCGTAAGTGACTGGCCTGTAGTCAACCCACGCGAATATGAGAATAAACTGAAAATGGGGGATAATATTTAAGATTTATGTGTCAAAATATTTATAACAGTTGTGATATTATAAATGAAAACTTATGATTATAGTTTAAAAAAAATAAAATTTATTTGAGAGCTTGTTTAATTATTGATAGATAAAGATAACAACTGCCAAAAGTTCTGAGAAAATGGTACGTGAATGTAGATATAAAGAAGATAGGTAACATAAAAATGTAAATTGAATTGATAAAACAGGTAGAGTGCTGATTTTGATTTTTCGATAATGTAAGAAATACAAAAAATTAATAGACACGCTTTTAAAAACAGGGCAAAACTGAAGTGTCATTCTGCGATTGATGGCATGATTAGATAAATATATTTTTCAACCGATTTTCGCTAGCGATTGAACTAATTGACCTATTTGAAATTTAAAAATTTGAAAGTATTTAACAAAAATAAAATCTAGAGACCAATATAAAAACAGGACACAGAAACTGCCAACAAATTCTCCACCAGACGACATCCCTTCTTCCCAGCATTATCTCCATGTCGTTGTACAGACGAGTGCATCCTTCAATACGACACAACGACGACGATGAGATAAATCACGTTGATCAGGTTAAAATATTGTTAATAATGATTGAACATGGTAAAAAATAGTCGTTGGTTCTGTAAAATATGTTACAATCAAGCCAATCTATACAAAATTCAAAAGGAAGTTTGTCAATCGAAACAAAAAAAATATTAAAAAATGAAATTTTTTTAGACAACCTACCGTAGACCCAAGCCAGGGCTATGCACTCAATGACCCCAATAAGCAACAAGCCCCACCCACTGCAGTATGTGTCCATGAGTAACAGCATGTAGTTGCCTCCCTTCAGCACAATATTTTTTGACCGAATGTAAATTTTTTTTAAACAATTTTTTGACTGAATATAATCTTAACGGCTGAAACACAAAAAAATTTATGGTTCTGCATAGAAAATAATGTCCAGACAACACTGGCATTTTTACTCAGTCCATCACAAAAGTATAAACTCGCATGTGTGTAAAAACATATACATGTACATGTACAGAGAGAGAGAGACACATAGAAACAATTACAAATACACGCACATATACAAACATGCATAACATTTTCACCCCAGTGCATAGAGGGAGGCCAAGTAAGAAGAGGACAACACAGACACCCAGGACCACCCACGTCTTGTGCCTCCTCAGAAATGGAAATTGGTCCAGCGTTGAAGTCATTATCGTTTCCATGTTTGTAAACTGGTTAATTATGAAATATTTATTAAGTCACGTTTGGTTGATTTGAGAATTTATAACGCATTCAATTAAGTTCAAACGGTTTAGTGTTTACTCATGATGAATAATTTTTTAGCAAAATATGGTGTACCGTAACATTCCATAAGGTTAAACAAATAACGTATTTTTTAAAATTTTATGCATAGTGTTAATGTTCATAAAAATGAATTGATAATATATTATAAACACTGATTTCGAATAGTAATTATAATTTATCAAACCTGCGTATCAATTCCGAGTGTGAGTAGCATGAGGAAGAAGAAGATGCTCCAGAGAGAGGAGACGGGCATCCTGGTCACTGCATCCGGACACACGATGAACACCAACCCGGGTCCTATAAATCCACGCACACATATTTTCAGTTGTTTCCATTTTAAACATACCCATGCTTGGAATGTTACATGCTTATAAAAACATCTGCTTTATTAAAAAACTTAACTGAACAAATTAAGTTAGCAAAATTGATCAAGTGATCTTTTCATCACTAGGTATTTTCGATTAAACCGACCGCTGTCAACGACTTGATCCACACTAACTCCCATGGTTTGAGCCATGAATCCCAAGAAACTGAAGACAACAAGTCCTGCAAATATCCCTGCTGCATAGTTCATCAGGGTAACCACCACGGCGTCTCTGCGAAGGGAAATGTTAAGAAGTTAATAAAATTATTAAAAGCTTAACAAAAAATTACTACATAATTTTATTTTTGATAAATTTTAATTTTCAACATCCATAAATTGAACATTGCAACCAAAACTGCTAACTTGCATAGGCATTGACGGTAAATAATAAATTAGAAAAATTCGTCGGCAAACCTCAGACAGTTGTAATTGAACCGATTGTAACTCGATAGGGCAATGAGTCCTCCCCAACAGTTGGACGTGCTGAAGAACACGTGGTTAACTGCATCGTCCCATACCTGCCATACAATGACGTCATTTTGACTGCGATATTAATTTGCGGCCATTAAGCTAGAGCATTGAATAAATTTTAAATTGAGGATTACATAATGAGAGTAAATTTTAAAAATTACAAACCCTGGCTTCTTTTAGTCGATTAAAATCAGGTTTCAAATAATAGAGTATGCCGTCTGATGATCCGGACAACGTTATTCCTCTGCCAAATAATATCACTAACACAAAAAACGGGAACAGTGCTGTGAAATAAAGGACCTGAAAATTATATTAACTACTTTTAAAATTGACGAGAAAAATATTGAAAATTGAAATATTCAATGACGCAAGAGGTGCAGTTAAAAAAAATTACGTCACATTTCCAGTTGCTTTGACGCCTCTGATGACGTAGAGAAAGGTGATGACCCAGGCCAAAATCAAACTCAAAACCAAGTCCCACCTGACTTCCTTCAGTTCATGGATGCCCGAACTCAAGTTTAACACCCTGTTTCTGTGAATCGAAACGAAAAAATGTTTCACAAAGCGTTAAGTCTAAAAAGATATTCAAATAAGATATGAAGAAGTTAAATTTACCAATTTATCATTAAATATATTTAGTTTAGTCTGTACGTTGCATGACAAATGTAAATAATTTCAACAGAAATGAAAAAAATAAACTCGTTACATGTAAAACTCCTCGCTAGCTGAGGTTCGCTTGAGGTTTGTAACGTTCTGAAAAGTTTGGAAATCCCACAAACCGATAACTTGACTTCCATTTGTACACGTTCCATTCGGTTGGCGGATCAAAATTGAATAATTGCAAGGAGTATTAGGCATCTTGTCAAAACAAACTAGAAAGATTATTATAAAATATTCATTGATATCAATTTTAAACTTTTTGAAAAAAATAAATTAAAAACATCAAATGGCCTTCAAACAAATGTGATAAATAAATTGTATAATGAAATGGAAAGTTCTTCCTATTTAAAAACTAACAGTCTGTGTTCCAATAGTTGTTGCAATGAGACCAGGGTAAGTTTGTCAGGTTGAAGATTGAAGCGAATAAATAGAAGAGAGCTCGCGCAATGATCATGTTGTAGTAGATGCTTACGAGAGTTGACACCACAAGTTGGGCAGCACCTAGGCCTATGTTTACAAACAATTTCGTTTGTCAAAATGACGGGTTTCAAAAAATTCATTTATTTGGATAAAATTTTAACATATATTTCTTTTGTTTTAATCTTACTATTAGATCAAACTCTTCAATTTAATTTCGACGACGAATCTCCAAATATTTCAAGAAGTACAAACAAATCTCAAAAAATGCTACGCCAAAATGAAAAAAACATGTAAAAGTTTAATTAAACAAAAATAAATTAATGACAAAAATTTCAAAAACTTTTTGAAAATAGTCCAGAAAACAAACCTTGAAACAACGGAGCAAACTCCCAGCAATTAAGAGGTCCACAACTGCAAAACTGACCCAGTACCAGCTCCAGGTAGAACATCGGCATTCCAACCAGAACGAGTACAATCGTGTATGGGATCAAAAATGCACCCCCACCATTCCGGTAGCAGAGGTAGGGAAACCTCCACACGTTCCCGAGTCCAATGGAATAACTGTTCAATATCGTTTCATCAAGACAAGTAAAGCCAATGTAATTTTGTTGGAAAACAATTTTATAACTAAATAACTAAGTTGATTTTTTATTTGATTTTAAGTTTTGAAGAGAATAAAGAAATTTTCAGATGGATATGATTAAACGATTTGTTATTATGATTGAGCAACGAGTTTATAAATATAAAGGTTTATCAACTTCTAAAAAGATGCTGGCAAATTATTGTTATTCATCTACTCTTCATATCATGTATTTCAGTCAGATATAAAAACTTGTGACAATTGTAAATGATTTTTATTCAAATATTTTAAAATAGCGGACATACAAAGGATTTTCAAAACACAGTTTTATCTTTTAAAATACATTTTTAATTGTCTAGGTATGTCTTAAATAGACTTAATAGGACAGCGACGTGTATTAGCAAACAAGCCCGAGCAAAAACAGAAGCTTGTTGTGTGGGGCCCTTTAATGTAGGAGTATAAATAAATGTATTTACTTATTTTAAAACCTTTTTTACATTAAAAACAAGATATTGTATTCATCCATCAAAAAAACGGCTTTTTTTGATTAGATTATAATGTAGTGATGTCAGTTTATCAGGTGCGTACATAAGTTGAATATACAAAAGGTGCATACAGAAGTTGAAAGATAAAAATATTCTGTGTGATTTCATTTTCACCATACACTAAAAATGAATAACAAAAAAAAGGTTACTTCGAACCAAAAAACAATGCAATGTACTTCTATGTTATATCGAATATTTTAAATGCAACTACCAACGAACTGTTTATAGATTCTTTTTGTCTCACGACTGCTGTTGTGTGTGCGTTCGTGTGTGTGTGTGTTGTGTGTGTGTGTGTGTGTGTGTTTGTGTGTGTGTGTGTGTGTGTGTGTGTGTGTGTGTGTGTGTGTGTGTGTGAATTTCATATCTTAACGTTTCTATTTTTCTATTTAACAGAAACGTAGCTTATTTTTTTTCTCAAAAATTTATTAGTGCATTTTGATAGAATATTTAATTACGGTTTATTTTAGCAGGTAAAAATTTCAATGGAATGATGAACTGATGCAGCGATGAATAAAAGGTTTCTAAAAAAAACTTTTCTATCTGGTTGCTCTGTGGTCTCTAGACTTTTGTTTCGATTTACTGTGCACACATAATTTATAAAGATTTTTCGTGCAACTATGCCATAACACGTGCGGGTGTGCTTTACATATTTTATTTGTTTTAGTATTGCTCTTTTTTCTTCTTCGTATTTTAATCAATTTTACCAAATTCAACAAATAATTCATTGCACGACTAATTATGATTGACGTAATTTGTTATCAAACCAATATAACAAAATAAACAAAAACAATTAAAATTTGTTTTTAAGTTGAACTGACCCCAGCAGAGATAGGAAGAAATCAAACTTGCCTGACCAATAACCCCTCTCGACGCTCTCTTCTGATTGGGTGTTGGGTAATGTGACGTCACCGTTCATATTTTCGTTTATAAATTAAAAATATTTCGATGGTGCATGCTAAACTGACATTATGTCCACTAACAAACACCCTGCGTTTTTTTTTAAGTTATAATATTTTAAAATTTTTCATAAATTTTTTTCAAAACAAAATTTAAAAAAATTTTAAACAACATTCATTCATTCGTGGATTAATTCGTTAATCAAAATAAACATTTGAGCTCAGAAGTGTCATCAAATAACTAACTAACCAATATGCACTAGTTCGCAAACATTGTTACTATCGTAATGGTTTAAATAGCCAACGAATTTCTAATGAAAGTTTAATGCTTAATCCTACAAAATTTTTAATGGACTAATTTTAGCAAAAGTTAATTTAAATCTTCAACTTTTACAAACTGAAAGAGCGCGTAATGTTGACGCAAATGTTTGTTGCGTCTGCATTGTTTACCTGTGTTTACGTTCTGTTCACATTGTTTACCTGTGCGTATGACTTAGGAATATGCACAAATGTACTAGGTCTGCACGCTACCGGTTCAAAACATGCTCGGCTCACATTTTTGCAGCAATATACTTGCATATATACACACTCAATGAAAAATTGCATAACTCGATCCTTGAAAAATATGAACAGACCATCTTGTCATTTGTAAGACTAAAAAGATCGACTTAAACTTTCCTACTTAATGAGGTCCGCCTACGACGATATTTCAACACCAGGCAAGTATGCATGTGCAATATATTTTTAAAAATTATCTTCGAGAAGCAAACAATAAAACGAGCAGTTAAAACCTGTTCTAACAAGTCATTACGTGTTCTATTCAACTTCGACTCGCACCGTAACAACTGTCTCTCAATTTTGTACGGCTGAATAACCTACTGAAATGAGCTCTCATGTACCGTGCGATTCAAAACCTTAACAATACCTTTTATAATTTATTGCAAAAGTCAATACGTTTGTAACGTGATTCTCAACGAAGGAACTCACATTTAGATTTATGAGACCAGCACCAACCAAGATCGGCAAATGAAGTTTAACACGAGCCAGGTAGGAATCATTGAAGATGTCAAAGTGACGGAGTAAGAGGTTTCTGCAGCGGTCTGAGTCGGACTTTTAAAAAATGCCAGACGCGGAATGTGTTGAGAATTAAAAAAATTTGTCTTTAACATCCTCAAAGGGAATTTGAAGCCATTGTTTTACAAAAGATGTCTGTGCTTGTAGTAATAAGCAATCATCAATATATAGTGACTAAATATGTTACCAAAGTAATAATAAGTAAATTTTAAAATTTTTGACATTACATGCCGTGGAAAAGTGAATGAATTGAAGTTTGGCAAAAAGTAATGATCTAATTAAAACACGCTTGCTACAAATTTCTATAACCAAAATCCGCAAATTACGACGAAGTTGAGTAAGAGAAAGTCTTAGAAACAGTACCAAAACAACACCCGATCTAAAAAATTCTATGTACTGTAATAGGCTATTGCCTAAAACTTAGTGATACGAGAAAATACTTTTAGTCGAAAAATTAACATATGACGACAAGTTGTGTTTATCCGTAACGGTAAAATTCTAATCGATAAAAAATTATTTTAAAAAATTAAAGATAAAAAAAACTAAATCATTCCCAAAAGTATATATATATATATATATATATATATATATATATATTGGTAATAGACCATAATTTTTACAATATTCTATAAATTCTACCGAATGTTTGGCGTTAATATGTTTATGAAGTTTTAGTTTTGATGAATGCATATATGCATTTATAAAGTCTTTCCGGCATAAGTTTAGTTCATTCTTGACAATGCAATCAGCATCACAGTGATCCCATTGATTCAACAATTCAGTTAGTTGATTCGACAAGTCTTGAACTACCTTCTTTTTAACTACTAATTCTCGAGAGAGATGGAGCAGTCGCTGCTCGCGATCTTGTTCGATTGTCATATTAACACCAAACATTCGGTAGAATTTATAGAATATTGTAAAAATATATATATATATATATATATATATATATATATATATATAGAGAGAGAGAGAGAGAGAGAGAGAGANAGAGAGAGAGAGAGAGGAAGGAAGAGAAAAAGACTGTTGTATCAGTTTGTTCAAACATATGATAAAATTTACCATATTAGGTTCGTACTTGGAAGAGATAATAAACAAAATGAATAATCTTTAGACATTATACCAGACATTATAGCAACGGGTGATTAATTTTTGTTCGCAATCGACGAATAACAAATAAATAAATAAATATATATATAACAAACAAATATATAAAAAATAAATTAATTAATTAATTAAAAAATGGTTAACATTAACAAATCATGAATCTTTTTAATGCAATTCGCGAGAACATACCGCAAGACTGTCTCAGAAACATGACGTGCAGAAAAATATTTGAATTCATTCATATAATGTTAAAATAAAATGTGGTTCATGTAACTGTGTCATTATTATTATTATTATTATTAACAACAGCAAAAACAACGACAACAACGATATTTTTATTCTTCATAATATGTGATAATTTAAAAGTTGAACGGTTCAACTTAACAAAAATGAATGTTGTTGTAGTTACTTAAAGGATGAAGTCATCAAATTATACATTATTCATTCTTAACGTTAACAAGTCTTCGAAAAAATGCTCACAAAAATAATTTGTTAACATGTTAAAATCAATTTTACAAAGAAAAAAAAATTTATTTTTAGACTGTTTACAATCTTCATTCGCACGGACAATTAAACTTAAATTAATTAATTAAAAATGATAATGAATATAAAACTATGAAAAAAATAATAATTATTAAATAAATAAGTTAATTAATTAAAGAGTTATATAAAATCAACAAATATAGACGATTTTAGAAAATAACATTCGAAATAATATTTAAAGTTAGCTGATGCTATTTAACCACATGGTCCAATGTAAAGAAAGCAAAAGATTCACACACACACGCACACACACACCATACACACACACACACTCACATTACAACATAACATCAAAATTATTATTGATATTTATAATTGATGATGTCATCATCAATTATAAATGATATATGATATTTATAATTGATGATGTCATCATCAATTATAAATATAATAAACTTAACGTCATAGTATATATATTAAACTTTTAGAAAACGCATTTAAAATAAGACATGAACAATAAAAAACTCAAATAAAAAAATACATACAAACAGAACGTTTAAACCATAGATATAGAAAAACACAACTAATCCCTATATTTACGGTTCAAATATAACATCCGCAAATGTGTTTTAATAAAAAATAATCAATTAGAAAACCGTTAAAAAACCAAAACAGACTGTTGCGGTTTTTTACCTGAAAAGTTGTTCATTCAATTTAATAAATTCATCAAATTAAATATTAATTAACAACTTCTAAAATAATTAATTATAATTTTTTAAACATGGGGCCTTAATAACTGACAATTTGAAAAAAAAACCATTATATCAATGTACGTTTCTACATAACAAATATTACATACGCCACGAAACCATTGACGAGTGTGTGTGTGTGTGTGTGATCTGTGGGTGTGTGATCTGTGGGTGAATATGCTTAACTCATTCCAATTAAAACAACACTATCTCAACTTTTAAAATGGGACGCATAACGACTTGTAAGATTTGAAAACGTTACTCAGGATCGATCAATCAATCAATCAATCAATCAATCAATCAATCAATCAATCAATCAATCAATCAATCAATCAATCAATCAATCAATCAATCAATCAATCAATCTATCAATCAATCCATCTTTAAATCAATCAACCAATCAATCACCAACATAATCACCAATATTATCATTCATCATCGTCATCACCACCCACACAACAGACGACAAGTTAGGATGATTGAGACAACGACTACGCTCCATAGAGTGTATCATACGCATGCATATATCATAGATACAGGATACATTTGATACATACCGATATTCATAGAGCTAGATTACATAGATATCATAATTTTTTTTAAACCAATCCCATCTGTCAACTACAAACGTTGAATTATTTCAAATCAACCAATATCACCAACACACATCCACATCCACACACACACACACACACACACACACACACACACACACACACACACACACACACACACACACACACACACACACACATGCATACACACACATTCATACAAACAGTATGAAGCAATAACATCCACCTGATTAATCGCACGTACAATTGTTATATACACCTAACATAGATGATGACCGCGAATATAATAATAATAACAATAACAACAAAATTAAACAATAACAACAACAACAACAAATAATAATATTTACAGATGATAATTATCATAGTAAGTTTTAGGTTATTTCCACCGTGCATCAGTGCAGAATATATTTTATGACTAATCCATCTATCGCTGATAAAGTTTCACAGTTACCAACAACTTGAATTATTATTATTATTATCATTACCATTCCCTCTTAAACACTCCTCAGAGGTTATGAATAAAATGCTTTTTAAATGTATTTAAGTTCTTAGAAACTCCATACATTCCTACCAATAAAAAATGGACGACTACTTTTTCAGAAGCTAATTCTAAATAAATTTGAATTACGTGATGTATATCAAAAAAAACATTTCGAAGATCAAAGATAGACCGTGACACACATGCACCGGACATTCCCAACCCCATAAGATACACCAAAAACCTCAGACCAACAACCTTCAAACTTCTGTTTCAATATTAATAAAAAGAAGAGACAGAGACATGTAAAAAATATTTTGTTCCTTATCGAATCAATGATAGATTGGTTAGTGTGCGACCAGCCAAAATTCTGCAATGTGCAATGATTAACCATAAAATCTCTTGCATCTAACACACCCGCACACAAACACACACACACACGCGCGCACACACACATAAAAACAGTCACATACATAAATAAACATGTGTATCGTATAGAATATATTAATTAGGAAATATATTAATAATTAAAATAAATAAATAATATACATCAACTGTATGTAACACGTACAACACGTGAACTATATAAGGTTAGTATCAACTGCTCGTTGCAATAAGCAATCAACGATTAATTAAATTAATAAATTTCATTCAATTTATTCTTCAATTTCTAAAAAGTTCAATGAAATAGGAATAAATATATATTAAACAGTCGTAAAAATAATTAGTACCAACATATGCCCGTCAAATGTAACATCATTGAATATCGTATGAACATTTCGTTTAATTTTATATTATGAAATTTGAACGTTGATAACGATATTAAAAAGTACAATGATAAAAATGATAACATTAATGAATGATAACAATGGTAATAATAATAATAATAATAATAAAGAGACGTGAATTATCAAAAGAGTCAACGTATGATGATTGTTTGATACGCCAATTTTGTATGATTTACTATCCTGATGATGTTTCAACAAAACAAAGCCAACAATATGGCCGACAAAATAAAAAGAATGAAAATGTTCAATGTACCAATGTATCAATCAATCAATCAATCAATCAATCAATCAATCAATCAATCAATCAATCAACAAATCAATCGACGATCCATCAAATTTATCAACCCTCCAAACAATTTACTACAACTCGATGAGAACATCAATCACTCAATCAGCAAAGAGTTCCATCAACCAAATAATCAATCCACTCAATCTTCAAAGCTTCTCGAATCTTCATCGTCATCATCGTCATCATCCTCATTTATTTGTTGCTGATGATGAAGATGGTGATGATCAAGAAGATGATGTTGCTGATGATGATGATGCTGGAGATGTTGCGTCTGCTGTTGATGGTGATGATGATGATGTTGCTGCTGCTGGTGTTGTTGACTGTGGTGGTGGTGGTGATTTCCCGGAACATTATCCACTCTCCTCATCATCTGCCTGTCTTCTTCTTCTTCCTCGTCCTCCTCCTCGTCACCATCTTCATCATCGTCATCATCATCGTCATTATCGTTGCCCATGTTGCGACTTGAGTTCATGTTGTTGTTGTTGCTGCCGTCGTTGTTCACATTCCTAACTCCATCCATATCTGTGGTTGTTGTCGTCGTTACATCAGTAATTATAAATACAAACTAATAACAATTGCTGTCTAAATTAAATAAAAACTTGTTCATGCGGTCATTATCACCTTGAAGCAACATCGCATTCCTCATCACGGCCACATAGTTGGTCATAAAATTATATTAGGCAGTAAGCACAATGATACAGTGTCTCGATAGACAGGATATATAGAGTTGTTACTATTATCATCGACATACAGATCAAAAGTGCATTAGTTAGTGCATATGCATGCCGTTGCCAGGGAGCCATCCAGCCACATTCAGCCATCCAGCCACATTCAGCCATCCAGCCACATTCAGCCATCTAGCCACATTCAGCCATCCAGCACTACCTACCAGCAAACATTCCTAGATATTTTTGGTGCGAGTCGTCGACAGTGGCTCCTTCGATGATGCTGTTGTTGTTGCTGGAGCTGTTGTGCTGCGTCTGAGATTGCTGGTTGTCGTCGTCGTTGTTCTCGTCATCCTCGTCGTTGTCGTCCTCACCACCTGTGACGTCATCTCGACCCTGAAGTAATAGATGCACGTTTCAGATTTAATAATGCATGTGATGGTTTTACTTTCAACTTTTATTAATTTTTTGTACCAAAAAAAGTACAATTCATCATAATTCAATCACATGTTTTAAAATTTATTTATTCAAACGGCGGTTTAATTAGCAGACCATTCATTTATAAAAACTCAAACAAATAACAAAACTGACATAGAAACAGACAAACAGCTGAAATAACAGCTAACAAAAACAGCAGCAAAACTGACAACAGACAACAAAAAAAACTTAGATGAAGAGCAACAGACAGGCACCTGCATAAGCACTTCCTCAATGTTGTGTCCCAGTTCGATCAGTTTGTTCTTCAAAATCGTAATTACTTGGTCCTGTGTAAATGGAAAGGAAACGCATTTTTAAGCACCAGTTTGCCAAAAAATAAAAAATACCTTCACACAATAAGATAATCTTTAGATACCATACTTTTCTCATTATATTAGTCATCATAAGCACCTTAATCAATCATTAAAGTTTTCAAAAATCAATATAACTTGACAGACAGCACACGCATGAACAATAATATTTTTGTTGTCTGCACGCAAGCTCCTTTACAATTAGTCTAGTGCAAACAAAGCCATGGAAAACACAATGCATAAATTTGCATGTTGTTGTCAGGCAAAATCTTTTCCATTCAGAATGACTAATGAAAGTTTTAATGCACAAGATATGTATTGTACTGTATAGTTCAGCTCTTCTTCAGCATTACCATACTCACTACCTGCCTATTTACGATCCTTAATTTCTTTCCACATGCCTTCAACAGCTCTTCAACACAGGTATCTAACTTTAGCTTGTTTACATTTAACGAGCCAAACGATATAGTTTCCATCAATGGCAACCAACTCACCTACTACCCAGCATATCAACACCATCACATCATCCACTCACCAACCACCAGCCCACAAAACAACTATTTTTAATTTCACAAATGCTCTTGGTTTGCTCACTTTTAGACGCGCACGCACGCACGCACACACGTACAGACACACACGCACAGAGCATAGAGAGGAAGAACAGACAACATTTAGCACAGGCAACAATAGATGCCAATCACTTGCAAACATTTAATTAAACTCAATCATCGTCATTCAACAGCGCAAATATATGTCATCCGTGCGTATTTAACGCTGCTGATCAAGTGGTGTCTCATTTAGAGCATCTATCCAGGTGATGAGGACGACGACGAAGAAGATGACGACGATGACGAGAACGTTAATTGACAACCAATTGAGAATGATGACAAGAATAGTATTTCCACTGAGAGAAGGATGGAAAGATGGATGGATGGAGCAATGAAAAGGGCTGCTCCCAGCAGAAAAATAAATGAAAAATTATAAATAGATTGAAAGGCAATTAAATGAAGTAGCACACAGACAAATGCACCACCAAGCAACAAATATAAATGTAACAACGATAATAGAGAAGCAAGTAGACGCAGTGCTGGTAAGTGGACGTAGGTGATGATAGCTCCAAACTTAATGAATGTGCTTAATAATGCATTCTACTCCCCCCATTTAGTGCACTTAATTTAAAATTGTGATCCTCATTCAGTCCTGGGGTTGTAATATATATATAGCTCTATAATTATAAAAATAATAACATAACCCTTTTGAAAAAGATTTTTAAAGAAATCAAAAAAATTCTCGTTGTTATTAACCTTCTTCTTGACTAGCCTCCTCATCTTTCCACATTCAGCTTTCCACGCTGCCTCTCCAACCTGCCATTGAAACAATTGAAAACAATTTCAATTCAACACACCAACACTTGAATAGCGTTGAAATAATAATAATGGCTAATTAGCAATTAACTTATAAAGTTGATTAATGAATGAACTCCATAAAAAACCAAATGTTCGTTTGTAAAACAGTCATAACACTAATGATAATAAGGACAATAGCAAAAATGTTATAGCCCAGTTATAGCCCACAATTAACAAGCGTCACATGATAACAACGAATGAATGAAGTTATGTTGGCAGGTGTTGTAAAAATAAAATGGTGTTTCATATTGTCAGGATTATTCATTTTTGTAATTTTTCTGGGAAAAACACCCAAAAATTATCCTATATATCAACACAATGCTCTACTAAGAAAAATTCATGAAAAAAAGTCCTAGAACAAAATAATGCTACTTGCAAAAGAAAAAGTAAATGTTCACAATAACATAAACAAAAAAATAGCAATAATAAAAAAAAACAAATTAAAATTAAATTTTACTGATATAAATGTGAATAAACAAAACAAACAAAAAGCCGCATAATTATAAAAATTATGCCTGATTAGGCAAGCACTAACCAGTGGCGTAACTCGAGGTCGCCCTCTGGGCCTCTTCAGGCCAGGATCCTAAAATTGGGAAATTAGCATAATTAATTAGGAAATTAGCATAATTAATTAGAAAATTAGCATAATTAATTAAAAAATTGTTAATTAAAACAACGCTGGAATCCAATTTATTCAAAAATACAACAACATAAATCAAAGTCTATTTTTAACAAAACAAGATTAAAAAATCTTAATTTAACTATAGTTAAACATTTGATTGACAAACAAGATATATTATAAATAATCTAATTAGCAAACAAACCAACTGGATAAAAAAAAATTAAATATAAAATATTATATAAAGTAAATTAAATATGGAAACCTTTTGTGGGTGAATCCTGGGTCTCCCCCTACTCTTCTTGCCCGAATCCTGAAATAATTTTATTTTAAATCAATTTTATATATGAAATAATTTGCACTAAATAAATGCATACACACACACCACACATACACACTCACACACACGCATAAATAAATATATACACGCACAACATACATCACATATCTGAGTTTAACATATAAATGGGAAATATATAAATCACCATTACCAAGACCAATACCAATATCTTCATAATTAACAATAATAACTTGCATTACTTAATCAAATTAATATTTTTAACATCCATTACCATCTCATTATTATTAATGATTAAGAAATATTATAATTTATGATTAAATAGTGTGAATTATTATATTTATACTATTATAAATATATTAAAATTATATTATATATTTATATTATAACTAATCATTGTCCAACCATAACCAACACATCCTCATCCGCATCAACAGTATCTATAATGTGCAGCCCATTTCGCCTAATCACAATCTCATTATAGATATGATAAATATTTATAAAACCTTAATTACAAATTAAACAGAATGGAATAGCAGTAACATCAAGAGAGAAAAAATAGCAATGGAAACAGCGGTGGTGAAACTAGCAGCAAAAAAGAATACAACAACAACAATGGTAGTAATATATACAAGGGGAAGCTAAATGATAACAACTTCAACGACAAACACAAGAGTTACTAAACCAATAAGGAACAACAACAAAAAACAACAACAAAAAACAACAACAATAACAAAACAACAAGTGCACTTACAGAATTGTTGATGTTGTTGAATGCCGAGGGCAGGAGTGGGAATGGAGATTCTTGGAGTGAGGCATTGTCCGAGCCTTGTTGCTGCAACAATCAAAGAAACAATTATTTATAATAATAACATCCACAACAACAACACAACAACAATAACCCTAAGCCTAAACATAAAATCAATGAGAATAGATGTAACATCAATTAACTTTACTATAAGAAGTGTTATTTAACAAATAATCATGGCTGTCATTTGAATGATAACAATTACTGCATTGAAAAAGGCATGAAATTATTGAGGACAAAAAGGACATCGTCAAATGTGAAATTTAAAACCAATATATAAAATTAAAAAAGAATTTAAATCAGAAAACGGAAAAAACGGTGCTAAAAGACAGATGAACTGCTAAACAATTATCAAATCAAAAAATCCAACCGAGTTAACAGTAGGAAACAATGAGGATGACGAGGGTTTCTTGCTCACAATGGCCACCTATGTGATGGATGGATGATTGAAATGATCAAATGCCAGTTAAAAAAATTTCAAATACTTAATCAATGTCTCTGTCATCTTTATTATTATTATCACATTATAAACACTGGTAAAGTTTAAAAAAGTGTTTTAAACATCATTTCGTCACAACATATTATCCCAATTGATAAGGTTACTTATTAGCTATTGACTAATTATTATTATTATTATGATTAAACTCTCATCATCATAGCTTACAACACCATTCACATTCATCACAAAAACATCTACATTACTCATTTTCATCATCAGTTGACGTCTCCACCACAAACACACAGAGGCCTCAAAATGATGAAAACACCACCATCATCATCATCATTATCATTATGGTGATAACATCATCAAATGTATTATCATCATTATTTATTTTATATAATAATAAAATTCATCATAGCATCACTATCAACATATAATAATCAAAATTATCACATATCACCATCATCACCATCCATCTTTACCTGTAATAAAGAATTTCTTGGAGGTCGACCTCTTGGCTTTGGGTCTTTCCTTGCCTAGAAAAAAAATAAAAAACAATACAATGATAACAACGACTTTAACAACAATTACATTAACAATTGTAATGACAATTATAACAATAATGACCCCAGTTATTGCAATGGTAATGATGAAAGCAACTACAACAAGAGGATGAATCTGATAAAATCTAGTTTTTAAAAAAAGAATCACGTTCATAAACATTTAAACCGTGAAATTAAACTTTCGTTATTCATTGTATAATTTTAATCATGATAGTGTACATATCTATCTTAACTGCAATCTTCTGGACAAAATCAGAGATAGTACTACTCCAGGTATTAAATTTCACAATTTTAAAGTTTTTGTCATTGCAATGGTCTTAACCATATGTTTTTGGTTGCTTATAAAACCAGTAAAACTATTTCAGATCTTAACTATTATAGTAAACTAGAATTCATTGAAAAAACAACTTGGAATGGATTATGAGTGGCTAACCTTTTTCTCACTATCTGGCTTAGGAGGGCGACCTCTTCTTTTAACAGTTCCCATTACAAATTGATGATTAGGTGTCTTGGAAGTTGAATGTAATGCATTGTTGCTGCCACTGCCTCCAACTTTGTTGCTACGATCTGGGCTGCTGTTTTCGTTCGATGTAGCCACGACTTCACAACGAACTGGTTCACTAACTTGCTCGACCATGTAGTTTGCATTCATTTGTTGTTGTTGCTGTTGAGGTGGAAGTGAAGGGTGCTGGTGGTGGCCAAAGGAGTGCATTTGCGAGTTAGAATGGTGGAAGAACTGGGGTTGAAATTGAGGTGACATTTGGTGACGACCATGTTGGTGGGGGTGAGGTGGCAAGTGGCGATTCATTTGGGGCTGTTGTTGCATACACATGTACTGCAATTGTTTAAATATTCAGTTACATTGTCTGTTAAACTTTAACTTTCTTTAAGAAAATTAATTTAATACCAAGTTGATAGAAAAACTAAAATTAATAAAGAAAATAATGAATGATTAACAAATAACAAGCCATACATACTTTTTCATTTGATTGGTTGTCCATGTGCCAGTCAACTTGTTCTTCGACAACTCCTCCATTATTATTATATGAATCATTCTCTTCGGAATCGTACTCCATCACACCCATTGACATCTTTAACTTTGAAACAAAGATTGATGTAGATTTGTAGACTTATTCACAATATGAGAAGGATCGTGTTCAAACTTGCTTCTTGAGTGAAATCAATAAATTGAAAATATTTTATTTTTTCATCAACTTTTCAAATATGTAGTAATTGTGAATCAGAACAGTAGGAAGCAAGAAGAGTAATCAAGTCAAGATGCACTTTCAATTTGAGAATTTATTTACGAAACACTCAAAAAACAATTCCTCGTGTTCAATTCAATCAGAGATTATAAATCCGATCGGAAGCATAGGTTGGCAACGGATTCATAATCGCCATGATGAATTTTATTCCGAGGTGAATTTCGAGTATTTCTTAATTAAATATAAAAAAATTCGACACCCACTATATTAATAACCCTAGGAAAATTCGTCAGAAAGCACTTGCTGTCGAAATAGTCGCAAATATTTTAACGAAATCGGGCAAATTAGCGGAAAACGAGCTAAGCATTTTACAGAATAAAAGTTGAATTAATTAATAATATATATTATATATAAAGCTGTCTACGTATATAATAATTATGAACAAAGAATATATACATATATAATTTAAAATTCAATAAAATACAATGAAAATAAAGAGAAAACAAAGAACTCTATAACACGTGCTAAATATATTTCTTTGATAAAAATAACTATTCTAATATTTTTAGACGATTTTGAGCAGTTTCATGAGAAATCAATTAAAATTATAAAAAGATTAAATTAAATTGATTTATAAATAATCGGTAGTGTGGATTTTATTCATGAACTGGATAAAAGTTGGTGAAGCCCGAAATCAACTCGAAATAAAATGCCGACCGAGAACGAAGCGAGAACATTTATAGAAGGCAGAGTGTCAATTTTAATTAAAATGAAAATGAAATGAGGCCATAATTGAATGATGCCGACTTAATTAAACGCTCTTTAAAAGTCATCACAAGCTTCTCACGTAGCGCGCGGAGTCTAATTGAAATGGTATATATATATATATTTATTTATTTATATATATATTTATATATATATATATATATATATATATATATATATATATATATATATATGTATATATTTTTGTACGACTGGCTTATATAAACACGTGTGTACGTGTGTCGCGTGTACACTTATTGTGGGTTCACTTAAATATAGGTTTAGCGATGTTATTGTTTTTTAACAAAAAAGTTATTTAAAAAAAATCTGGCAATCATCAGTGTTATTTAATGGATTGAATGCAAACGCTTGTTGAGAAAATAATCTCTGCCTGCGTTCATAAGAGTGTATGGGGTATTTATTTTGGTGGAATGTGGAATAAAACACACATTGTTGCCTAAAACTATTCTTCATTATCGTTTATACATATATATATATATGTTGGAAGGAGACCATATTTTATACAGTATTGTATGAACTCTACCGAATTGTTGGCCTTAATCAATCTAAAATTAGTTTTTTCTAGTAAGGAAAATTGAAAAGACTGTAGTATTTTAAAAAAGGAAGTGCGTAAACACGGTTAACGTGTAGAAAGATCAAATTATGAAAATACATCTGTCGCAATTTTCTTCTTTTGAGTTATTCATTTCTGTCGCACCTCTGATATAACATTGTTTGTAGTGAAATTAATTTTTTGTTGTCACTCGGTAGGGCAAAAAAAACAGTATTTGTTTATTTTATTTTTCATACGCTAGGCGTAACTAAAGGCACAACATACTCGTGTAAGTGCTCTGAATTAACGCCGATAAAAATAATGATTCATAAAAATGTTTTAAAAATGTTTGCAGACATTAAAAAAGTGCAACATCCACAAAAGCACAAGGAAGAGTGCACTGGAAGATGAAAAAAGAGATATTCTTTAATTAGGGAATGTTTTAAGACTGAGTCAAATGGATATTCCTCTGGCGCTTGCTTTTTCAATTGGTTTTCTAACAATGAAGGTAGGAAGGAAGAAGAAGACCGAAGACAATGCTCTCTCCATTTTATTTCTATAATTATCAACGTCATATATATGCCCATGAATGCAAAGGTGTTGTCTTAATGGCTTATGGCCGTGTCGATATGGTTGTCGTTGTTTTGTCTTCGTTGTTGCCTTCGCTGTTTATGTTGTTGCTGCTGCTGTTGTTGTTGTTGTTGTTGTGTTGTTGAGGCTGTTTTCGTTGCTGTTGTTGTTGTCGTTGTTATTGCTGTATTTTGGTGTTGTATTTTTTATTGCTGATTTTTTTAGTGTTTACAGTTAGTAGGTACATGTTTTGATTGTTAGATTTTATTGTTGTTGTTGCAAATACTTTTGTATTTGCGTAACTTGGTGTTTGTTACTGTCTTTGCTGTTGTAAGAGGGTTTAGACGCTAAATAATATATGTTAGATTTTATTGTTGTTGTTGCAAATACTTTTGTATTTGCGTAACTTGGTGTTTGTTACTGTCTTTGCTGTTGTAAGAGGGTTTAGACGCTAAATAATATTTGTTATGCTAATCAAGAGTCTTGAATAAGATTTGAATTCAAATGATTTATAATCATTATTTAATTATTTTATTTTTGATTTTAAATTGAAACCAATTTTATATAGCCGATTTTGGTTTTGATTTAGAATAATAAGTGTTCACGAGATTTTTCTGATTTTAAAAACTGAAACGGTAGTGATGAAATAGAAGAAATTAATAGATGAAAAAAAGAGTGATAATAAAAATGTCAGTAACTATGGCAGTTGTAATACTTTATTCAACGAGTTCGTACACTTACATCTATTTACATTACTTAATTATAGTTATACTTAGACGCATAGACAGACACATACATGCACATACACATGGGCATCATGATAACAACACTGCAAAGGCAGGAACCGACCCTGACACTTCTTAATTTAATTTCATTGCGATATCGATTGTTTGTTGATGTCGTTGGTTAATGTTGTTTGTTGATGTTGTTGGTTAATGGTTTTTTTCGCATCTCTTTTTTTTACTTAGCCAACTATCTGCACTGCAGAGGTTTTTGCCCCATTGATGTAGCTGTGTTTGTACGTGATAGGAATTGCATTTTCATCTGCGTGCGTGTTAGTTTGTTGTGCAATCCCAGTAAACTGGATTTGAATACACTAACTTTTTATGTATGCATTTTATTTGAATTTGTGTTTAAATTTTTTGAATTTTTAAACTCCGCGATTAGGCTTACGTCAACGTCTTAATTATCTCATATCTGAAAAGTTAATAAAGCCGAATGATGTGCTACAACATTTTTAAACTTACATTTTGTATGCGGATACATACGCGTGTGTATGTGTGTTTTTGGATGTACGTACATGTATGTCACTGAGAAGAGTGTAAGTGTTTATCAGCATGTGTGCGTATTTTTGTATGCATGCACATCAAATGTGTGTGTTTGTGTTTGTTTGCTTGTGTGTGTGTGTGTGTGTGTGAGAGAGAGAGAGAGCGAATGAAAGTGTTGTGCATCTAGAACAAATTTAGAATGAATGAAAAACGAATAGGCGAATGATTAAATAAAGGAATGCTCAAATATAAAATAATTGTGGACAGGCAACCATACAAAGGCATTCACTGCATACGTAATCTACGTAATCACCAAGTAGCCAGAACTTTCATTTACTTCATGCAATTAACTACTCCTTCATTAAGCGCATTATCCTAACAACAAAACGAACACTAACATTAGCAAGCAACGACATAAACGGCGACCACAACAAATAAATGCATTCAAATCAGAGCAAATAACTTGGGCAACAACATCAAACAAGTCTATAAATCAATCAACACAACAACCACATCCTTTCCAACTTAAAACAAACAAAAACATCAACAACAGCAGCAACCAAATCATCAGCATTAGCAAAAAACAACGACACCAGTAACAACAACAACAACAACAACAACACAATAATAGAAGCAGCGCCGACAAAATACATGGCAAATTAAAACGATCTCGCTTCCCAAAACAACAGATGAGTAAAACCTGCCATCAGCAGAAATATCAATTGGCACAATAACTCACTACCACCACATACCTTAATACGTCTGCTGCCTGCAACGTGTACTGTACACTCTACTGTGCACATACATAAAAATGTGCAACGAACAAATACAAACTGAAATACAAACTACCATTAACATAAAAACGTTTTACATATAGAAGTGTTTACAAGAAAGAGAGAAAGAGAAAGAGAGAGAGAGAGAGAGAGAGAGAGAGAGAGAAAAACAAAAAGTAAAATACAGAAAAGATTATAAGAACGCACGGTTTCACATCTACAAAGTTTCACACCACCACACACAAAATAAAATACTTCCACGTGCACGCAATTGCATCAAAAGCAAAAAACTTTGAAAGAAAAAACCATATAAAAAACAAATTACTCCTACGTTTAGCGGAATTAGTTCTACGTTTTGCGTGCGCAGACACAATAAATCAGTTCATGCGTAGAAAATAAGTTGTGATGCAAGTTAGCCAATGTGCTCTTCAGACCATATTTCAGCCCATTACACAGGACGGATGATGAATCTTTATACACAGGCCGGCTGCGGCTCGCCAGAACGTATGCGTGCATTTATTTCATGCACGTTTTTATGGATGCATGCTGTTAGTCTTTATACGTTTGTTTGTTCAATTTTTTATGTTTTTTTCTGTTTATTTGTTGTTAAAACATTTTGTGAATGTATATGGGTATAATGTGTACGTGTATGTTGGAACTATTTACAAATGTTTACGTTGTGATATCATCTCACTCTCTCTCTTTTTCTTTCTTTTTTTTTCTCTTTCTCTTTTCCTCTTCAATTCAATTCACCTATCTCTTCGGATATTAAAGTATCATTTTTATGCGATTTCTACTTTTAATCTCTTTCTCTTACAGCACATATTCATGCTGTCAAAATAAATCACGGACAAAAATTTTTTACAGCTTTGAAATTTAGATAAGACTTGGCCAACAATTTTGCTAGTGTCTTTAATTAATATCAACAAGAGAGGTGGAGAGGATAAGATACGGCCG